GAAGGTCATCCCCCGCTTCCTCGTCCTCGACCCGGCCACCCGCCGCCGCACGCTCCTCCCGCCCCCGCGCCGCGACACGGTGCCCGATGACCGCCGCTGGCGCAGCTCGAGGTACTACATCGGCTCCGCGCTGCTCTCCCGCGCTCACCAGAGCAAGCTCTGCTTCGAGGCTGTCTGCTTCGCCATCGACGGCGACCACCCTCGCGCCTGGGTCGCGTCCGTCGACAACGGCGACTGCAGCTGGCGCGCGCTCCCGCGGGACGAGGATGTCGTGGTCGATTTTGACCCCTGGCTGTTCGAAGGACGCTGCGTGCACGCCGCCGGGAAGATATACTGGCACATCTGCAACTCTGAGCGCGTGCTCGTGCTGGACCCTGTCACGCTCAGGTTCTCCTACCTGCCGGCGCCGCGCGCGCTGCGAATCGACGCGCTGGCTGTGTGCAAGTACCGCGTCGGGGAGACGCCGGATGGGCGGGTTTGCTTGGTCACGGACGGCCAGCAGCAGCTGCATCTCTGGGTGCGCGGGGAGGGCATGTCGAGCGACAACGGTTGGCTTCTGGAGAGGAGGATCGTGGACTTGAGCGCGCTGTGCGACATGATTCCTGGCATGCCCAGCAACCGGATGCTCAGGACCCATTGCATCTGGCCCACCGACATGGACGCCGGTCGCACAGGGAAGGTGTTCATCAAGACCTGGGGATTTGGGCGCTACACGTACGATCTCCACACCGGCAAGATGGAGCGCCTGCCGACGAGAAGCGGCAAGGACTATGCGCACCCCGTCTTCGCCTACTCCCTGGCATGGCCGCCCACGTTCCTCGCTCCAGAGGACTGACTTCGGTAAACCCTGTCGCCATTTTTGTCCAGCGATGTTGCTCGCTCTTTTGCACACTCGGATCAGTGTTTTTGTCATGTGTTTGCTTGCAGTAGTTTGTTCCATGTGCATAATACCATGAGTAAGTCAAGTGCAGTGGCTTTGGAGGCACAAGTGTATCCATGTAAGGTTATAGGCAGTTCTTCTTGCAAGATAGGTAGGATACAGAGGGAGTAATGTTTATTTTTACATTGCATTTTGTACATTAGGTTTACATTTTAAACCGCCCTGTATCTCTGATTTCCTTGCTCGTTTTGATTCGTTATAAAATATCTTTTAGGTTACCTTTATAGTACCCAAATGCAGGCTGTTTTTATGCTGGAAGTTTTATTGAGCATGTTCCGTAGGCTTGTCACAGGTTTAAGAACGGATCTTTTAGCTTATGTCTATGAATTATATACCTCTGAAATCATCATTAGTTTGTACCTTAATGCTTGTTTTCTCTTAGAAACTTGTCTTGTGCTACTGGGTTGGGAGCTGGTCCTTATTGTTAACATTAAGTGCATCACTTTAACTTCTGATGTCACCTTTATATTATTTTATCTTTATAACTGGTAATGGTACAATACTGCTTGTGTATTTTCTAGTAATTGGTCATTTAGAAGATCAAAAACTATAATGGATATTGTAACATTCTTATGATTAGATATGCGCCATTCGCTATGTGATTATTGGTTAAGTACTTTGTACTCCTCTCTGTATGAAACCAATTCATAGTTTTGGTTTTGTTTAGGGACTTTTAGCCTAGAAGATAGCCCACTTATTTAGCTTTCTTTTCATACTACCATAACTGTCAAATGGTCTGAATTGGAGCAATCTTTCTGACAGCTCTTTGATAGAATTCTAAACGGTAAACAGCATAGACATGAGCCTAATGTTCTGGTTAGGAGTCAGTTTGATTTTTTTACTACTTGCTCATCTTGTATGCTGGTACAATTATATCGGCTTATTTCAGTGCAAATTTGGTAGCTGATACTTCTGTCATTTCTATGATTCAAGCCGTGTGGCGACTTGTAAAGGAACTGGCGCATCCTTTTTTGAAGTCAGCTCTTGATACGCAGGTCATCACTTCCTCATTGTGTGCCATCTCTCTCGGGGAAGCTCTGATTATCTTGGCCTGTATGAGGCCATTTAAGCAATCTTTTGATGCTATGCTATCCAAGCATCATTTGGATCCGATGATATTCAGCAAGGCGTACTGTTAAATTAAATTACGCTTGTTTTGGACAATCCCTTGCTTTAGTCTATTCAGTAATATTGATTGAGTTTTGACTTTCCTATTGTTCTGTCTTGCCTTGGTAATTTGTGGGTTTGGCCATTGTGAGTTTGTGATTGTCAAATTAGTACTCGCTCTGTTCCAAATTTGAACTAAAACCACGACGAGTAATTTGGAACGGAGGGAGTAGCTTTGTTTTGTGTATCTAGCGATAGTTGAACATCTTGAATTTGGATGGTAGTGCTAGTTTACACACACCTTGCTTGATTCTTTATCGCATTCAGCCATCGCTTGCAGACAATTGGGATCCACACAATGTTCAGACTGTAAACCACTTGGGTAGGAAAATAGAAAGGTAGCGCCTATACAGCGCCGGTTGCGCCAGCTGGCTCGCCCGCTTTGCCCGTTCGCTCCCTTCGCGCCTGGCGTGCTTCCCTTCGCCAGATGGTTTGTTTTTTCATTCTCTAAAAAAAAGCTATTAGTTATTTTTTGTTTTTTTATGCAGTTGGTCCGCTATGAAAAAGCCTAGCCGGTTTTTCATAGTACTTTTAAAAACAAATGTGAGATGAAAAACGTTTACATATTTGAAAACAAAACCACGAATTAAGGAAAAAAATGAATTTGAAAAAGTTCACAGAATTGAATAAATGTTCCCAAATTTGTGGATTTGAAAAATGTTCATAAATTTTAGAAAAGTTCAGGATTTGAATAAAAGTTCGTGAATGTTTGGTCCTGAAAAAGATCATAGTTTTGAAAAAAGTTGGAATTTTTAAAAAAGTTCATGAGTTTTAAAAAAATCATGAATTATAATTTTCAAAAAGTTATTTGAAAAACACAAAATTTAAAATTATTCACAAATTTGAAATTTTAAAAAGTCATGAATTTGAAAGAAGTTCATGAATTTGAAGAAAGATCATGGATTTGAAAACAACTTCATGAACTTAGAAAAATCATGAGCTCAAAAAACTTTACAGGATTAAAAAAATCATGGATCTAAAAAAAAGTTGACAAACTCGAAAAAGTTCAAGGGTTCAGAAAACGTTAACGGGATTCAAAAAATCCATGGACTCGAAAAAAATTCGCAGATTTGGAAAAAGTTCTTCAATTTTTCAAAGTTCACGGATTTGAAAAAGTTCATCAATTTTGAAAAAAGAAGTTCATGGATTTGAAAAGGTTCGTCGTTTTTTGAAAAGAAATCACGGATTTGTGAAAATTCATGGATTTTAAGAAATAGTTAAGTAAAAAAATTTGCAAAAAGTAGAAAAATCACATATTTGCCAACATTGAGCAACTTGATGCGTGCACCACAAATCCGTTCCCGGTTGGACCAATAGTGGGGAATTCCCTGTCTATATATAGTTCCGTACATCTCAATACGACAAAAAAATTGGAGCACTGCACAAAATTCGGATGCCGCCATCCACCCAACCATAGGTAAGCCTCCATGTTTTTGTTTCGAGAGCGAACCACTAATTGTTTGTGAGAGCACGCATGTTCAATCCCGAGTGAGGGCGCGAGCTAGTCGATCAGGGTGGGGGCGACGAAGGTGAGCAAGCCAGGGACACGGTGAACATCTCAATACCTCACAAGAAGCCAGGAAGCTAACAACATTGAGATCAATATTATCACAAATTACCTTTCTTTGGTTCAAACCAGCAAAACTCAAGGCCATCACATCCCTCCTTGTCCCCGAACGCCGCCACTTTCTTACATGCGTGACCCTCTGTCCCCACAACGCGCCGACCACCACGGGATCTCTTTCGGACACACCCTCTTTTCTCATCGTGTGAGCCATCACTTCCAATCCCACCTGTTGTGGCTGCTTAGAAAAGGAGGAGGCTCATGAGATGTCAAGGAGGAGCAGTTGCGGATGCAGGAACAATTCCCTGGTGTGACGGAGGTTACTATCATATGTGTGTTAGCTCAAATCTTAAATGAAGTACCATATACACATAGCATGTGTTACGTATGACAACAACCAAACCTTGCCAGATTGCTGGCTACACCACTAAGGAGGAGGGGCAACATCTGCAGCTCAAATCCGGGCA